AAATTCTATTCTAAAATAAAAATAAAAACTATGGCAAGATTCCTGTATAGATATGATCAATGCTTCCATTTTCTTCAATAATTAGCATATGGTTTAAGTATATTGGTATTAAGGATTATTTATACATGTCAACTTTATTACAATTTGGGAAAATTCTGCAATATACTTTCAGGCAGGTAGCATTAAAATAATGAAAACCCAGCTCTTAGCACAAACAGCCCTGAGAACAATGCACTCAAATTACATCTCAACTAGAAATAACCTAATTGAGAAAATTTGAAATACAAAAACAAATTCTGGAAAAGTTGTAAATAAAAATGTTACCAACATTTGAGGCATTACCAGACTACAGTACTTTTAAGAGTTGGAAGGACTTTTTAAAAAGAACACAGGATAATAAAGATATAAGTGAAAGAAGCCAGTCACAAACACCACATTTTTAAATTACATTTACATGAAATGTCTAGAATAGCTAAATTCATAGAGTAAGAAAGCCATTTTTTGGTTTCTAAGAGAGGAGGCTTCTAAGCTATTTGATGATGAAAACTGAGAGGAAAAATGTCCTTTTAGGAAAACAAAAATGCTCCAAAATTAATTGTAGTGATGGATGCATACTTTATAAACTGTAAGTTGTTGAGTGTTCAAGTTAAACTGAATGTATCACATAGTATGTACATTTTATCTCAACAAGTCTTCATTTTAAAAATTGATAAAGCTATATCTAGAACCAGACTTGTTTCCTGATGAGCTCTTCCAAATATATACAGATTAAATCTTAGTTAACCAACATAAATAGTACCCGACACCAGAAATGGAGGGAACACTTTCAAACTACTGTCATGAAGTCAAAACTTGATAAAATCTGTCAAAGCATAAAAAGAAAAATAAAGGAAAATCACAAGCATGTCTCTTTTCTGACCACACACAAAATTTTGAAATAAAATTAATTCATTAATTCAAGAAGTGTGATGCAAACATACATATCAAATATAAAATGTTCATATATAAAAATTATGTTTTGATGCATAGATCTCTATAATACTCAAACATTGAAGCAACCTCTCATTATAGGGGAAAATAATATGGTTGTAATACATTATGTTATAACTCCATATATGTACCTATATTTTCTTTATATATACTTTAATTTTTAAAACTCAATTTAATTTTCTTATTAACAGTCGATGAAAACGTTGTATGTCTAACGGATGCAGAAAAAATAGGTTATGCAATTGTATGCTTATTTATAGTAATAAATCTCCTAGCCAAATAAAACTAATAGGAAACTTCCTCAAAATGAAAAGTCGAATCTAAGATAATGGAAATGATAAAATTTTAAATTAAAATTAGTTGTACAAAATGGAGAACTTTTTCCTTCATTGAAGATGTATTGTACCATTTCTGGGAATATATCCCGAGGATACAAAAAAGCACAGTAGAAATGACATCTGTACCTATATGTTCATTGCACCACTGTTCACAATAGCCAAAATCTGGAAGCAACCCAAGTGCCCTTGAACAGAAGACTGGTTAAAGAAACTTTGGTATATCTACACAGTGGATTACTATGCAGCTGTCAGGAAAGATGAAGTCATGAACTTTGCTTATAAATGGATAAGCAAATGGATAACAACATAACATGAGGCTGACTCCTAAGGACAATAGATACACGGGACAGATAGAATGTTCCATAGCTGGAAGCCTGCCTCATGAGTAAAGGGGAGAAGGCAGCTGGAGTAGAGAAGGGATCTCTAAGAAAATGATGGCTGGAGGAATCAGTCAGGATAGGAGATGTGTGCAGAAGGTAGATAAAGGACCAAACATGATAACCTCTCAGTGTCTGTATTGAAAATCATAATGCCCAGAAGTAGAGAGAGATTATGGGGAATCATGTCTTCAATGGAGGTAGAGGGAAGGTGGGAAAGGGCAGTTATACAGGGGGTATTGGTGGTGGTGAGGAATGTACACTGGTGGAGGGATGGGTGTTTGATCATTGTGTGATTGTAACCCAAACATGAAAGCTTGTAACTATCTCACAGTGATTCAACAAAATTAAAAACAAAAACAAACAAAAAAATTAAACTTAAAGAAAAACTGAAATATAAATCGAAAAAAAAACAAGAAAATGTATTGCAAGTTTTCCTTCTGAAATAAAGGAAAAAACAAAAAATCAAAACATTAAAATGAATTTATTAATAAATACACATAAAGCTACACTTGTCATATAATATTTTCTAATGTAAAATCAACATTCCCTTGCTTTCGATAAAGCAACTTTTATAATTTTGTAGGCTAATATTTCCCCATAACGTGTTCCTATAATTCTTCACTCTTACTAAATTTTACATTAAAGAAATATGTAGATTTTTTTAAAAAATCCTTAATTTATCAACTTAACTTTGATTTAAAGTTTTGTTGAATTTCAGGAGATAGCTTATTCATCTATATGTATGAAAGTGTTACCACCCCATTAAAAAAGAATTGTTTACTATAGGACTTTAGTTTTGAAGTGTCTCTCTGGCACCAATATTTGGTATCTTTAAATAACAATGCTTACTTGTAAACATTTACCTATGACTATGATTATTTCTCTAAAACAAATTGCAAGCAGTAGGCATCGTTGCTACTAACTGTCAGGCATCTAGGGTGACCTGCTAATTGTCTGGGATCTATGGTGAGGTTTATAAAAAGCAGTAATGAGATTATGATTCTATAGGAATCCCATACTGATAATTAATTTTAGAGGAATTTCCCTGAGATTCTGACTTAATGTGTTTGTAAGAGTGCATGTATATAAAGAAATGCATGTCAGAATTTCATAATTTTAAATAAGTACCCATACGATTATAAAGAGCTGCTTTTTTGGAGGGAATTATAATGCTAGATTTTTTTAGACATAAATTGAGTAATAATCCCTTTTTAGTTGCCTTTTAAGAAATAAGTCATAGTTTTAGAGAGGTTTGATTACTAATAATGTTGCACAATCAGAAGTAAAATTATGTCAAGAATTGTAATTAAATAAACATTTGCTAAGTATCCATTATATGTAAGTCATGGTACTAATAAACAGCAGTTAAATTAAGCTAAATTAAGTTAAATTAAAGCCTAGACTTTACTTTGAGACAAAAGTTGAGTCATCAACTAATGCTTAAGTGAATAAAATCACACACACACACACACACACATATATGGACAGAGATATGATGTAGGAAGTAAGGCACTTGCCTTTCATACATCTGACCCTGGTTCAAATCTCAAGTACCACATATAATCCCCTGAATATTGTGATATTGTGTGTATACATAACTGGTGCATTACATGCTATATAAGACATATAAACATATTCTATGTTTCCTATTCTATATAATGTTGTATATATTAACCTCACAAGGCGTTTTTATATACATTTCATTATGGGAAGGGATAGGGGAATGGAGGGAAGATAATAACCTGTTAGATCTATTTCCCCAGGCCATGTTGTGCAATTCCAACACATGGCCAAAAGTCTCCTGAACCAATAATGCAGGTGTACCTGCAGTCCTCTCCACCCCTCTCAAAGAGCCTGGCAAGTTACCGAGAGTATTCCACCCTCTCAGCAAAGCCTAGCAAGCTACCCGTGATGTATTTGATATGCCAAACACAGTAACAAGTCTCACAATGGAGATGTTACTGGGCCCGCTTGAGCAAATCGATGAACAATGGGAGGACAGTGCTACAGTGCTACCCACAGTCCTCAAGGAGAGATCATTTCTTAAGTGGGAAGAAAGGGGCCAGAGTCATAGCAGAGAGGGTAAGGTGTTTGCCTTGCTTGCACTGAACAGAGTTCAATACCTGGCACCCAATATGGTACCCCATATGGTACTCTTTACCACATGGCTTTAGTTTTTGGACTTTCTCTCTGGTCCCAATATTCAGTATCTTTAAATAACAATGTACCCTTATGGTACCTTGAGAACCACCGGGAGTAATCACAAAGCCAGGAGTAAGCCCTGAGCCCCACCGGGTGTGCCCCCTCCCCCAAAAAAAGACAGAGAAGGAAGAAGAGAAACTATTTCTTCAGAGCAGCAATTCTTACTGCAACTTGTTTTTCACTCAAACTTGTATCTTGATCCAACATCCAAAATAAACTCATCTTGTCCAACTCCTACCGAGTGAATGTGTGTGTAAGTTTGCAGCGGGGGTTAGGGGTTAGCACCTGTGGTTGAACACAGGCTGTTTTGTTGATATCTCTTTATGACATTATGGCCCAAGCAACCCTGAAGCAGACTTACCTATATTAAGTGTGACTAAACAGAACAAAAAAGTTTGAGAAGGTGGGAATTCAACCGAGGAGACTCAAGGAAACTGGTTTTTGGCACTCAGGGACTACAATGCACCTGGGACTGTGAGATAGGGGTTGGGGTGGGGATTAGCCTGTAGGACAGGACCCAGCAGAACAGGTAGCAATGCCCAACAGGCATAAAGAAACTCAGAAGACAAAGGAATGGGGCCCACCAGATGACTGGCTCATGGAAGTCCCCACTTCCCTCCCTCTGTGCTGATTCCTGTTGAATCATGCCAGACTTCTCAAATAATTGCTCTTCAATAGTTTAGAGTTCGGTTTGCATGGATGGGAACAGATCTCATCAAGCACATCTCAGAATCAGTTCTTCCCCTAAATAAGCCCTGAAACAGTATTTTCACCCAAAAAAAGGATCAAGCTGAAGCAAGTGTATCAGTAATAACTGCCAGTTTTATTCCTCTGCCTAAGAGGTCTAGAGGTATTTCAAAGCTTACATTTCTTTTCAGTATTTCTGTTATTAAGAGCATCTTTTTTATTGTTTCACTGATCTTCAAAGGTGAGAGATTGACAAGTTCCTTTACTGTGTCTGTTTTTTTTCTTATTATGTAATACAAGCAATACACATACACAAATACATATTCTATATTTTTTGGAAAATGAGATGCAGAGACAAAAAGTGAAACAAAGATCATGCAGAGAGATTCACTGATAAACTTTTGGTGTATAATAATTCAGACATTTTCCCTTGTATTTGTCATACATTATATGTATATATAAAATAGAATGAATATCTTCCCATAAAAATGAATGAACCTCCCTGTTAAATAATGAAACTGAGTCTAAATATGAGATGCTTGGTAGTAAGTCAAATTTGAATCAAAAGAACTTTGAGAGATTGGAGTAAAAGGATAGCAAATATTTGGCAAGAACACACAAACAAAAGAAATCAGAGATGGAAGTATTAATAACAGAAATAGTCAAATTGAGAGAAGAAATGCATTTAAATGGGATAAGGGCGGTCCCGAGAATGCCTGTGGTTAGAATGTAGAGCCCTAAATTTTTTTCTTAGGCCTCTTATCTCTTCTAAACATCTTTCCATCTCATCTCCCTCTCTTGTCATTTCTTCATCCTTTAAATGCCTATAGTCTATGTCCTCTTTAAATTCTTCGAGAGACTGGAGCAGCCTTTGCCTAAAATTCCCTTCTGTTTGCAGGCGTTCAAATTCTCCATAGGGGCGCTCTTCCTCTCTCTTTGGCACGCTGCTCTTGGGCTTTCCTTCATTTTCTTTGCAGGGTTTTTGCATGATGCTGTTATTTCCAGCATAAGAACAGGGAGAAAACAAAGAGTGAGATTGATTCCTACCTCTTAAATCACTATTTTTAGTTTCTCTTTGAGAAATTAGGTATTCACCTAATCTCCCATTCTGGTTTTACAGATCCAGCCCTCAGAAGTCCAAGAACCTGACCCTTCCTCCCTACCCCTCCTTTAGAACTCCTTTCCTTGCTTCTTCTGAAACCCACTATTTCTCCAACAGACAGATTTGCCAATGGGTGAGAGAAAGATAATAGTTCTGGAGCAGGACTGTGAAGTTGCCAATTTTACCTAAACTCTAACTCTTTCTAACAGCCACACTCTCAGAGACCCTGGCTTACATGCATGCTTCCTACTTACCTGTGAGGATTTTAGACTGTTTCCTCCTCTTTTTCTTTGTCTGAAATGTCTATCTACAGACCTTAGGACCTGCAGAAAGAAAGGAAGGGGGAAGGGAAGAGGCAATTATCTGTGAATTTATCAACTCCAGAGACAAAACATGGGCTGGGCTACTCTGTTATTATCTTAAATCAGGAATCCTCATTACTTCATGTCATTCCAAATTAGCTATCCCTTTGTTCCCCTCCCAGCCTTATCTCTTCCTCCAGAATCTCTGACCTCAGCTTCCACCCCTTACTCTCAGGCCTAGTTCTTACAAGACTATTATCCCTTCCCTCCCAGCTCCCCACACTCCTTGCAGGCAGGCATTGGATGAGAGAAGATATTTTCAAATTATATGTAAAATCTCTGTCTGATTCCCAGGATTTTAGCTGTTCTCCTCTCAGCAGCCCACATATTCCCTCCAAAGGAACTGGAGAAAGAGAAAGAAAGGGATAAAGAGAAAGTTTACAGAAAGCTCATTCTTTTTAAACTCACTAAATCTCTGGATTTTTCTCTTGAGTTTTTTCTTTACTCTGGCCCCATCCCATTTCATACATACAATTATTTTAATAATGCACATTAAAACCACATAAAATAGATTTAAAATGCAGTCATCTTGCAGAAATTTTGAGATAGCTACTCGGCCTATTCAGGTCTCTACAACCACAAGAAAACCAGGGGACCCCTCATACCAACCTGCTGGGATTTAAGGAATTTACCTCCTTCTTTTAGCCACAATCACAAACGCCTGCAGGGCAGTAAGGAGCTGGTACCCTGAGGAGAAAGAAACCCGGGAATATAAGGACTTCAAGTCAGCTCCTGGTCACGTGAGGATTATGTCATCTTCCAAGTCTGGTCCCTGCTTTCTCCTCCCACCAGCTGTGCTGCAGAAGTGGAAAGGCTCACTAACCTCCCACCCCCCACTGCACCAGGCCCTGTCACTCATTTCCGTCATTGCTAGTTCCAAAGGTCAAGAGTGGCCCCTTCTTGCTGTGGTTGGAATTTGCCTTTCTCTATTTACCCGAGAAGGGCTGCTTTTCCCTAAAGTCCCTTTAACAACCATTGTTATTTTCTTAGCAATTGTGTTCAAAGAGATGACTTATTCCTTCAAAATAGAAGCACAGAAAGGTAGCAGTCTTTTTTCCTCTTCCCATCTTTCCTAGTCACTAATTGCTATTGTTTCCATTGCTGATCAATTATTGAAACTAAATTGGAGAAGCGGTGGTAAATTAAGCAAATAGGTAATAACTCAGATTTTAATTTTTGTTCCCATAACTTCTCACTCTTCTTTCTTGTCTAAACATTAAATACTTTAAACAATCAGAAATATAACAATATGTATGTTTGGAAAAAGATTCATGTTAGGAGAATAAAAAGATTCAGCCACCTGTTTTTGCTGTTTAGTCATAAGATAATTTTAGATCTTCCAAGCAGACTCATTTTTGGAAGTTTCAAATGTGCAGGGCAGCTGGTGGCTACCATTCTGAGGCCCTCCTGGGCATGTGAGGACCTTTTATTAGCTGAGCTACAGGGACCATAATCCCATGGCACTGCTCTTAGATCTTCAGATCTCAAAAAGACAGTTCAAATTTTACTAGTTCCATCACAGTATCATGTCCTCTCCCTCCCAATTTTTATCATGCCCTTATGTTTTCTTCACTACATACCTAAAAGATCTCTCTGTTCACAACACTTTTATTTACAATTGAATATTTTTTTATTTCTCCCAGACAGCTCTATTCTATTTATATTTCCTAGACCTTATTCAGTCATTCAGGAGAATTAGAAGCTACTTGTAGCACAAATAAGCTCATCACATCTAGTTGCATATCATTCTGGAATCTTGGTTGCTAAGGATTTTAACAAAAAGCAAAGTGGGTTGTTTATTTCTTACATTAATGCAACAAAAAAGGGATGCATTCTAAAGAAACATTTTTAGTCTTGCTCTTCAAGCACGTGCTCACCTTTGAACAGTTGTCTTCCTTGCTTTTCTCTGTTTTTTGCTTGCTTATTTACACTGTAGAAAATCCTGTGCTCTCTATCAAACATGTAATTCTCACTCTCTCCTCACATCTCTCTAAATGAGTTTTAATAAATCCTACCTCCTATCACCAAATAAAAGAAAGAAACATTTTCAGTACGACAGTTGCTCTTAGTAAATTTCATGTTGCCGCTAACCAGTTTGAGGTAAATAATTCTAGAAAATGCTTAAGTGAAGAAATATAAAGGCCCTCCCGTTGATCGTCGATTTGCTCGAGTGGGCCCAGTAACGTCTCCATTGGAGACTTTGTTGTTACTGTGTTTGGCATATCAAATACTCTCAGTAGCTTGCCGGGCTCTCCGAGAGGGGCGGAGGAATCGAACTTGGGTTGGCCATGTTGGCCGCTTGTAAGGTGAACGCCCTACCGCTGTGCTATCGCTCCTATAAGTGGTCTTTAAAATAACTGAACAGAGGTCACGATTTGCCCCCCATGAGTGGCTCTCCAGCATGGCCATGGTTCCAGAGGCAAAAGGCTTAATCTGCTTGAGGCAGAAAAGTGAATGGACCATACTTTAAACTACGCCATGCCTCCCCAGGAGGGAAAGGGTGTTGCTCCCTTCTGCCTTCCCACCCACCCCCAGCAGCAAGGTGGCCGCTGCCTCAGAGCTTATTGGAAAGCCAGGTATGAGCCAGCTGTGACAGGGCAACTGCTGTCTCATGGGAAGGGAGGGCGGTACCGGCTCATCCTTCACACCCAACTGAGGTCACAAGTTGCCCCCCACGAGCGGCTCTCCAGCACAGCCATAACACCAGACGCACAGAAACCAATCTCATAATTATCTGACTCTTTGAAGAAATCCCTCCAGACCTAATTAGTAAAATACCAGGAATCCAAAATCAACATCATATAATTTCATAACCAGCTATAGAGAACAAAGTATTTTACAATGCCTTTTCAGTAGTTCTGATTGTTGGGGGGGAAATTCTAAACAATAATGGTGCATATTTTGTTGAAATAATGAATGTAATCAAAGTAGAGAGAGTTAAGTAGAAATCATCTGCCTCACAGGCATTGGGAGGGGTGGGAGGGGGTATATTGGGCTTATTGGTGGTGAAAAATGAGTACTGGTGAAGGGAAACGTGTTTGATCATTGTATGACCAAGACTTAAACCTGAAAGCTTTGTAAGTTTTCCCACAATGATTCAATAAATAAATATAAGAAAATATAAAATAAACTGAACATTGCTGTCATATTTATAAAGGAATGTTTTGTTATAATAGAAGCAGATAATTTGTTAGCAAAAATCCTGAAATTTCTGTGAAGAGCTTTTCACCCAGATGGTTACACTCAAAAATTTCCAAATGACTGGAAGGATGCAGTTTCTGAAGATTTTGGCATTGAGACAGGAAGCATGGATGTGAACATGGACTTGAATTAACTGCATTTACTTGCCTTACTAAAACTTGGATATTAAAATTTTCCTGTGTCAGGAATGTAGCTCAGTGGTAGAAAGCATGTAGAAGATCTGATTTTAAAAAGTTTTTTAATTGAATCACCACAAGAGTATTACAAAAATTTTCATGATTGGGCTTCAGTCATATATTGTTCGAACATCCTTACCTCCACCAGTGTACATGTCCCAGCACCAATGTTCCCCAGTATCCATTCCACCATCCCAGACTCTCCCACCTACAAGCTGCCACCTCACCTCTAAAAATACCTGTGCCTCTCCTATAAAATAGTTCTTAGGTTTTCCAATAGTGGGCAGGATAAAATGAAATGGTTTAGGTAAAGCATTGGTGCATAAGTGACAAATAATCTGTGTTTCAAAAAAATGACAATCTTCAATGATTATTTTCTAATGATATTGGGAATCCTTCCAGTTCCCCTTCTGGTTCCACTGAAACTTCTTTAATTCAGACATCCACAAACTCCTGAATCACTATAACATTTACTTAATCTATCACTTTCTAATGAAAGTGATAAAAAACAGAAGATAACAAACAGTTGATATGACCATATAACTGCTCTGCATTGTATAATTTCACCCTCCAACAATTCTCCTAGTGACATCATTAGTTGATCTCCCAAAATACACCTTAATTTAGAGGCAAGAGTTGCTGTACACATGGAAGCGAAGTGAGATCAGATCAGATTCCCCATCTTCCAGTAGCTAGACAGGTGCACCCACCAACTGCCCCCGGTACCGTGTAATCTCATCAATGGCCAAGATCCAGAGACTATAAAACAAAGCTACTGAAAGCGCAATGCTGCATTCACGGCTGGGCGACCTCTTATTGTCTAGTTCTCGCTCTCGGAAAACCCGGCAGGCTACTGAGAGTATCCTGCACGCACGGCAGAGTCTGGCAAGATCTCCGTGCCGTATTTGATATGCTAAAACCCAGTAACAATGATCTGTCTCATTCCCCTGACCCTGAAAGAGCCTTCAATGTGGCACCTACTAAAATCTCAGGGCTAGGACGAATGGAGACATTACTGGTGCCTGCTCAAGGAAATCGATGAACGGTATGACAGTGATACAGTGATACAGTGGTTTGATTCATTTCCCAAGTATTGGCAAATGGGAGGCATGGATAGGTCCAAAAAGATATTTTTTACAAGAAAATAAAGTCCATGGGGTTGGAGCAATAGCACAGCGGGTATGGCATTTGCCTTGCATGCGGCCAACTCAGGTTCGATTCCCAGCATCCCATATGTTCCCCTGAGCACTGCCAGGGGTAATTCCTGAGTGCAGAGCCAGGAGTAACCCTTGTGCATCGCCAGGTGTTACCCAAAAAGCCAAAAAGAAAAAAGAAAGAAAAGACAATACAGCAGTTGTGACCAGATACATTCATAAGAGTTTACTGAAAAGGAGCACACATGTCAGCTCAATTATCCACAACACACATCCCAGCCTTGGCTCCTCCAAATCAGTGGAAAGAGACAGATAAGAGGTGAAGAATTATTTTTTTAAATTGTATTTTATTTTGTCTCTATGAAATTACAAAGTTATTCATGACTGGGTTTCAGGCAGGAATCACACTTTATACTCACTTTATACTCAAAGGTACAAATAAATTAAAAGTGAAATGATGGAAGGACTGGGAGATGGTACAGTTGTTAAGGAAAATGCCTGGCATTGTACTGGACAAGGTTCAATTCTTGCACCCCACCTACCACCTCCAGCATTGCCTAGTGCAGCCCCAAGGCCCCTGAGAATTGCTGGATATAGCCCTGGAAGTCCCCAGCACTGCTGGATTAACTGAGGTATCCTGGGCACTGCAGTATCTTAGTAGCATCACAACTCTGGGCTCAGGTTCTGAACCAGTGGCCTGGTTGGCTAGAATCACTGGTCTGAGCCTCTTTCTTCTCTCTTCTGCCTGTGACCTCCTGAACAAAGCTCCTCCTCAAACATCAACAGAATAGAAAATGATAAATGATGCAAACCATTTCTGCAAAAATAGTTTCATATCTATATTTATCTTAGAGAAAAAATCTTCAAAGCAATACATTTCCAAAGACAAAGACATTTTATAATGATAGAAGGATTAACCCCCCAGATATATACACTAATTTTATTACACATATACAGTTTATTAGAGACCACCCAAATATTTTAATTAAAAGCTGACAAAATAGGCGTGTTGGGGAGAGGGACAATTGTCAGTAATTTTAACATACCATTTTAATAACAATGTGAAAAATAAGGAGAAAGAACCAACCCCCTAGGCCTAACTATATATATTCTGTGTGATAAGTAAAAAAATACCCCAATAACTCAAAAAAAGATTGACAGTGTACAATGTATTTT